ATGTCTCCCACACTAAGACCTGGACTACACTACAGACTTATGTTGGTATAACTGTGCTGCTCAGGGGAGTGGAAAATCCACCCCCCTGAGCAATGCAGTTATACCAACCTAACTCCCAGGGTAGATCGCGCTGTGTCAACGGGAGGGCTGCTCTCCTCGATGCAGCTACCGCCTCTCAGGGAGGTGGAGTGCCAATGTCAATGGCAGACGCTCTCCCATCGGTGTAGGCAGCGTCTTCACTAAGCCCTACAGTGGCGCAGCTGCACCAGTTCAGTGCTGTAAGTGTAGACAAGCCCTAAATTAATCCTTATCCAACCTCTGAACAGCACAAAGGAGACTTTTCTTGCACCAGGATCTGGTCCTAAATATCTAACTCTTCTTCGCTTACACTTAGAATCTCTTATGCCTATTTTTCACAAGTATCAGAAGCTGTCCATGTATTGATTAACTATAACAGTGAGTTTATTAAATTAGAGAATAAATCAAACAGCAAAATTATCAAGTTTGTGTATTTTCCACTAGACAACAAAATAACCAGCTAGTCAGCATACAATTTGTAATTTAAGGCGGGGGATCAAAATTAGCAATTCATCAAATTTAACCACCTAAATATATCACTACAGTTTATCTCACATTAGTTATACAGTACAAAATATATCATCCTATTAAAGTATTTGTGCTATCTGAAAATACAAATGTTAACTGTTTTAGTTAGATAATGGCATAAAGGAAGTTGATGGAAAGAATGGACAGATTGTGCGTATGCTCTCTCTAGATTTGAAAGGTATGTCTACTGCATGCTCGCATTCTAAGATAAACAGCTGCATTCCACTTTCCACTTTGGGTTGCTGATAACTCACGATTTCCATTCCAATTCTCTTATTTATTTCATTTATCCCTTCCTGTCTTTTTCCCAGGGGAGATGGCTATTCTCAGATAGAATTCTCACAATTCAAAACTGCAGCAAGTTCCAACTAATTTTTTTGCCTAGAACTACAATCTATTTAACATGCTGATAGATAATTTTTGTGTTAGGAAAACCTATTACAATTCTGCACAATAAAATCACTCAGTATTAATTTTGAGCTACAGTGCATTATGAGATCTAACAGTGGCAAAGAGAAGTTACATTATTGTCTCAGCAGGATATGATGACTTTTGCTACCCAGGTGAGAAAGGTTTATATTTAGTATGTAGAAAACTAATTGATACCAACATGAACACAAACAGTTAGAAAGATGTATCCTGTTTTAAAATGCAATAAAAATTTTTCTGGCAGTGGAAAGTCTTTCTAGGATACTCGGATGATGTGCAGCAAGAGAGTATTCAAACGATTCCCGCTCTTAGAAACTGTCTATGATCTATTTTGTCATCCACTTTCAAATTATCTAGTTTAGCATAACAAATCCCAGAAGCTTAAGCAATTTACGGCACACGTATCTACAGTAGTGATGCTAAATCTATGGCACACAATGCAGTTCGGTTGGCATTTGCCCAAAAATATAATTTAAGACTGTGAAGACCTGTCACTAGTGATGCAACCAGCACACGCAACACATCCTGGTCCACTAAGAGTCTGACATCAAGGGAGGCTGCCTTTTGGATAGAACTTCTAAATGGCATTTATCTCTGATATTACTGTAGAAATAAAGTATGAGGAAACATGAGGAAACTCCAGTGGAACATTTCTAAATTACATACACATGAAAAACAGTTGTTTGGACATTAAGACCTTTTTTTTACTCAGATAATTGAAAAAACATTTATTTAAACTTCATGTATTGTCCTATATATTTGTGAGAGGGAAAGGAACATACCAAAACGGAATGTTCTCAACTCCTCACAACTACAGACAGTAATTTCTCACAGCCACCAGTGATTTTAGTCATCATCACAGTTAGGGCAAGGGTGAGTTAAACCCACTGATCTTTCATATCGAGACAGATTCCTGGATATCAGACAATAAGACCCCACTCCTGCAATTTACAATGGAAAACCCCAATAGGGCTGTGCACAGATACAGTAGTATGCCTGCATGTTGTAAACTGCAAGACTCAGGCCTAAAATGCTATGTGTTCTTATTCAGAATGAGCCGCACCCTTTTCCTGCAACAAAAATTCTCCTTAACGTTTCAGTCTGTTCGGTTACCGTAGTGCCTAGGAGCCCAGGTCATGGACCAGGACTCCACTGTGCTAAGTGCTGTAAAAACATAGCACAAAAAGCCTGTTCCTACCCCAAAGAGCTTACCCTGTAAGTAATTTACAACCACACCCCCTCACCCTGGCAGGGAACGGGAGGAACTGTGACGCAGAGCGGTGTCTCTCTGAGGCTATATCTACACTGGTAATTGAACGACAAAACTTTTGTCTTTCAGAGATGTTAACCCCCCTCCCCCTCCAAAAGACAAAAGTTTTGCCATGACAAGTGCCAGTGTGAACAGCACATTGTCAGCAGGATAACGCTCCTGCCGACAATGCAAAGCCGCTCATTGGGGGTGGAAGTTTTTTGTCGGCATGAGAGCCAACAAACAGCGGCTACACTGCGTGACTTTTAGTGACACTGTTGTGCTGACAGCCGTATCGCTAAAAGCTGTGTAGCGTAGACATAGCCATAGCCACAATGTCTCCTGATGCTATTCATAGTGAGGTGCAGTTTACATACCGTGGGTGAAAACCTGATCTTACTGAAGTCATTTTAGAGAGCTCCCATTTATTTCAATAGAGTTAGGACTTCACCCCACCTCTTGCTCAGTAAAAATCTAGCCCAAAGGGAATCACCTGCAGCATTGGGGTCTTTGTTTCTAACCACCAACTGCCAGAGCCTGCATTCCATTCGCACCTCAAACTATCCTTGACAACAGTTGGAGGTTTGGGGTTGCTAGGAATGGGAAAATGGCCCAAAAGAAACCTGAGGCAAGAGTTTCCCTATTTTAAAACCTGATAACATTCAAACTTAAGGCAGAACTCAAGATTTGCAAATCCAGCTACCAACTGCCATGGTTTGTAAGAAACACTAAAGGAGTGCATGAGCATTGGTTAACTGACAAATGTCTGCTTAGAAGGGAGACTTTACAAAATTAATAAATAAATAATAAACCAAAGCCATTCTGCACTGTGCCAAAAAAGCTTTAATTTAACAAAAGGAAGTCTGGCTCCAATGAGGCCACCAAAATAGAAATTAAAGAGTGCTACGGGTATGTCTACACTACGAAATTAAGTCGAATTTATAGAAGTCGGTTTTTTAGAAATCGGTTTTATATATTCGAGTGTGTGTGTCCCCACAGAAAATGCTCTAAGTGCATTAAGTGCATTAACTCGGCGGAGCGCTTCCACAGTACCGAGGCAAGCGTCGACTTCCGGAGCGTTGCACTGTGGGTAGCTATCCCACAGTTCCCGCAGTCTCCGCTGCCCATTGGAATTCTGGGTTGAGATCCCAATGCCTGATGGGGCTAAAACATTGTCGCGGGTGGTTCTGGGTACATATCGTCAGCCCCACGTTCCCTCCCTCCCCCCCCACACCCGTGAAAGCAAGGGCAGACAATCATTTCGCGCCTTTTTCCTGAGTTACCTGTGCAGACGCCATACCACGGCAAGCATGGAGCCCGCTCAGCTCACTTTGGCAATTAGGAGCACATTAACCACCACACGCATTATTCAGCAGTATATGCAGCACCAGAACATGGCAACGCGATACCGGGCGAGGAGGCGACGTCAGCGCGGTCCCGTGAGTGATCAGGACATGGACACAGATTTCTCTGAAAGCATGGGCCCTGACAATGCATGCATCATGGTGCTAATGGGGCAGGTTCATGCTGTGGAACGCCGATTCTGGGCTCGGGAAACAAGCACAGACTGGTGGGACCGCATAGTGTTGCAGGTCTGGGACGATTCCCAGTGGCTGCGAAACTTTCGCATGCGTAGGGGCACTTTCATGGAACTTTGTGACTTGCTTTCCCCTGCCCTGAAGCGCATGAATACCAAGATGAGAGCAGCCCTCACAGTTGAGAAGCGAGTGGCGATAGCCCTGTGGAAGCTTGCAACGCCAGACAGCTACCGGTCAGTTGGGAATCAGTTTGGAGTGGGCAAATCTACTGTGGGGGCTGCTGTGATGCAAGTAGCCCACGCAATCAAAGATCTGCTGATATCAAGGGTAGTGACCCTGGGAAATGTGCAGGTCATAGTGGATGGCTTTGCTGCAATGGGATTCCCTAACTGTGGTGGGGCTATAGATGGAACCCATATCCCTATCTTGGCACCGGAGCACCAAGCCGCCGAGTACATAAACCGCAAGGGGTACTTTTCGATAGTGCTGCAAGCTCTGGTGGATCACAAGGGACGTTTCACCAACATCAACGTGGGATGGCCGGGAAAGGTGCATGATGCTCGCATCTTCAGGAACTCTGGTCTGTTTCAAAAGCTGCAGGAAGGGACTTTATTCCCAGACCAGAAAATAACTGTTGGGGATGTTGAAATGCCTATATGTATCCTTGGGGACCCAGCCTACCCCTTAATGCCATGGCTCATGAAGCCATACACAGGCAGCCTGGACAGTGGTCAGGAGCTGTTCAACTACAGGCTGAGCAAGTGCAGAATGGTGGTAGAATGTGCATTTGGACGTTTAAAGGCGCGCTGGCGCAGTTTACTGACTCGCTTAGACCTCAGCGAAACCAATATTCCCACTGTTATTACTGCTTGCTGTGTGCTCCACAATATCTGTGAGAGTAAGGGGGAGACGTTTATGGCGGGGTGGGAGGTTGAGGCAAATCGCCTAGCTGCTGGTTACGCGCAGCCAGACACCAGGGCGGTTAGAAGAGCACAGGAGGGCGCGGTACGCATCAGAGAAGCTTTGAAAACCAGTTTCATGACTGGCCAGGCTACGGTGTGAAAGTTCTGTTTGTTTCTCCTTGATGAACCCCCCCCGCCCCTTGGTTCACTCTACTTCCCTGTAAGCTAACCACCCTCCCCTCCTCCCTTTAATCATTGCTTGCAGAGCCAATAAAGTCATTGCTGCTTCACAGTCATGCATTCGTTATTCATTCATCACACAAATAGGGGGATGACTACCAAGGTATCCCAGGAGGGGTGGTGGAGGAGGGAAGGAAAATGCCACACGGCACTTTAAGCACAGCACTTTAAAAGTTTACAACTTTAAAATTTATTGAATGACAGCCTTCTTTTTTTTGGGCAATCCTCTGTGGTGGAGTGGCTGGTTGGCCGGAGGCCCCCCCACCGCGTTCTTGGGCGTCTGGGTGTGGAGGCTATGGAACTTGGGGAGGAGGGCGGTTGGTTACAGAGGGGCTGCAGTGGCAGTCTGTGCTCCAGCTGCCTTTGCTGCAGCTCAACCATACACTGGAGCATACTGGTTTGGTCCTGCAGCAGCCTCAGCATTGAATCCTGCCTCCTCTCATCACGCTGCCGCCACCTTTGAGCTTCAGCCCTGTCTTCAGCCCGCCACTTACTCTCTTCAGCCCGCCACTTACTCTCTTCAGCCCTCCACCTCTCCTCCCGGTCATTTTGTGCTTTCCTGCACTCTGACATTATTTGCCTCCACGCATTCGTCTGTGCTCTGTCAGTGTGGGAGGACAGCATGAGCTCGGAGAACATTTCATCGCGAGTGCGTTTTTTTTCTTTCTAAGCTTCACTAGCCTCTGGGAAGGAGAAGATCCTGTGATCATTGAAACACATGCAGCTGGTGGAGAAAAAAAAGGGACAGCGGTATTTAAAAAGACACATTTTATAAAACAGTCGCTACACTCTTTCAGGGTAAACCTTGCTGTTAACATTACATACATAGCACATGTGCTTTCGTTACAAGGTCGCATTTTGCCTCCTCCCACCGCGTGAACGGATTTTGGTTGAATGCCAGCAAACATACACTGCAATGCTTTGTTCTACAGTGATTCCCGAGTACGTGTTACTGGCCTGGAGTGGTAAAGTGTCCTACCATGAAGGACGAAATAAGGCTGCCCTCCCCAGAAACCTTTTGCAAAGGCAGAACCGCAAATGCCAGGGCAAAGTAATCCTTTCACATGCTTGCTTTTAAACCATGCATAGCATTTTAAAAGGTACACTCACCAGAGGTCCCTTCTCCGCCTGCTGAGTCCAGGAGGCAGCCTTGGGTGGGTTCGGGGGGTACTGGCTCCAGGTCTAGGGTGAGAAACAGTTCCTGGCTGTCGGGAAAACCGGTTTCTCCGCTTGCTTGCTGTGAGCTATCTACAACCTCCTCATCATCATCTTCTTCGTCCCCAAAACCTACTTCCGTATTGCCTCCATCTCCATTGAAGGAGTCAAACAACACGGCTGGGGTAGTGGTGGCTGAACCCCCTAAAATGGCATGCAGCTCATCATAGAAGCGGCATGTTTGGGGCTCTGACCCAGAGCGGCTGTTCGCCTCTCTGGTTTTCTGGTAGGCTTGCCTCAGCTCCTTCAGTTTCATGCGGCACTGCTTCGGGTCCCTGTTATGGCCTCTGTCCTTCATGCCCTGGGAGATTTTCAGAAAGGTTTTGGCATTTCGAAAACTGGAACGGAGTTCTGATAGCACGGATTCCTCTCCCCAAACAGCGATCAGATCCCGTACCTCCCGTTCGGTCCATGCTGGAGCTCTTTTGCGATTCTGGGACTCCATCATGGTCACCTGTGCTGATGAGCTCTGCTTGGTCACCTGCAGCTTGCCACGCTGGCCAAACAGGAAATGAGATTCAAAAGTTCGCGGTTCTTTTCCTGTCTACCTGGCCAGTGCATCTGAGTTGAGAGTGCTGTCCAGAGCGGTCATAATGGAGCACTCTGGGATAGCTCCCGGAGGCCAATACCATCGAATTGTGTCCACAGTACCCCAAATTCGAGCCGGCAACGTCGATTTAAGCGCTAATCCACTTGTCAGGGGTGGAGTAAGGAAATCGATTTTAAGAGCCCTTTAAGTCGAAATAAAGGGCTTCATTCTGTGGACGGGTGCAGGTTTAAATCGATTTAACGCTGCTAAATTTGACCTAAAGTCCTAGTGTAGACCAGGGCTAAGAACATAGTCAGTTAAATCAGTTCATATTCTTGTGGTTATCCAGTAACAAATAAAGATGAAGGAATGATTTTGACTTCTGATTTAATACAATTTAAAAAATCCTAGTTGTATCATCTTAGTAGTTAACGTAAAAGCCTATTTATTTTCAAGCACCTTGCTATTACACATATAGCACATGCATATACTATTTACACAGAGTTAATAAAGGAAAGAAGGTTTGAGTAACTTTCAGAGAACAACACTAAGCCCTGGTCTACACTACCAACTTATGTCAGTATAACTACATCACTCAGGGGTCTGGAAAATCCACACCCCTGAGCGAGATAGTTATAACAACCTAACTCCTAGTGTAGACAGTGCTGTATTGACCGGACGGCTTCTCCCATCAACAAAGCAACCACCTCTCAGGTGGGCGGGGTTCCTACGCCGAAAGGAGAAGCCCTGTGCTACAGTGACACAGCTGCACCAGTGCAGCGCTGTAAGCATAGACAAGCCCTAATATATTTTCCTGTGCATTGTAGAATGTGCAAAATGTTACTGTGATGGAATGTACCCCTGTATTCACACCCTACACACTAGTGTAGTAATCTTTATACAAAATATGGCTTGTGAGGTATCATTTGAAAACTAATAACTTGCTGGTCAATAGTATCATAGTAAAGTGTATGTAGCAACATTTTATGAAAAGTTATGCATTCCCCCTGGGATGATGTTGGTGGCACATGTTTAAAACCATGTAGCCCAGATTAGGCATAACTGGTTAAGCAGGTCTTAAACAAAGGACAAGTTGACACCTCTAGCCATGTGTCATCAAAGCTGATGGGCCATTCCCTATCAAGTGACCATTTTTTGGCAAAAAAGGGGGCATGAACAAACAGAGCTGCATCTTAGCAAACAACTTTGCAAACCTCCATCCTCCACCAGAGTCCATGTTTCCTTGCTCTCATCTGGAAAGAACTTTAACTAGAGGTCACACTCAGGAAAATGCTTTTCAAAAGGTGACTGAACTATAAAAATGAGGGGCAAAAACACCCCAAGTTATCTCTCCCTATCCATCTTTCTCTTTTCACCTAAGACGACAAGGGAAACAGCCTTTGAACTTTGGTTGCAGATCCCAGCCTGAGAGTTTGGTCAGTAATGTACTGAAAACATGTGGTAAGAACTTCACCTTAAACCAAGTCTAGTTTATTAAGTTTAGAAAGTGTTTCATGTTTATTATTCTTGTAACTATTTCTGACTTTAATGCCTCATTACTTGTACTCACTTAAAATCTCCTTTTGTAGTTAAATAAACTTACTTTATTCTTTAATTGAAACTATCCAGTGTTGTGAATTGTTTGAATAACTTCATATAAGGTAGCAGACTGTTGTATGTTGATCCCCTCAGAGGGGCAACAAACCTATTACATCTGGGACTGTCTGGGAGAGGGCTGGACAGTGCAGAACACACGTTTTTTGGAAAAAAATCCAGGACTGGGAGTGTGTTGGGGTCACTCTGCAAATAGTAACCGAGGCTGGTGGAAGCCACAGTGTGGCTGGTGTTTGCTGACCACAACATTGAGACTTAAATGACTTCCTGGAGGCCACACAGGAAGGTTTGAAGCAGAGTCAGGAGCAGACCTCAGATCTCCTGATTCCCCAGCCTGTATTTTACCCACAGGATCAGCCTTCCCTTAGTCCATGTGTGCGCTATTCACCCATGTGACCTGCGTGCTTTTTGTGAGGAGGCCAGGTGGGAGCTACAGCCGCAAAGCATTGTGAGGCACCCCAGTTTAAAGGGCAAGTGATGACACAAACCCTCACTGTAACTGGATTGTAACTGGGAATGTCATAGTTACTTTTTGAAATTTCTGTTGACAATTTCTAAATTAATCGATTTTCCTTCCAAGGATTAAAAACATCTCTATGGAAAAAAAGATATCAGCAATAAAAAAACAAAACTTTTTGCATTTTTACCTTCACACAACACATAGCTAGACTGTGGGACTCACTGCCACAGGATGTTGTTAAGGCCAAGAATCTAGTAAGCTTCAAAGACAAATTGGATATTTACAATTGCACAATAAGAATAAAGTTTTGAAAGGGATAAAAATTCCCACTTTAGGATTTAAATCAGTATCTGCATATTTAGAGTTAGTACAAGAGTATAATGGGGAGTTGATAACCCCATATCTGCCTGTTGCAGTTTCTTGCCCCTTCTTTTGAAGCACCCGGTACTGAACCTCTGCTGGAAACAGGATACTGACTAGATGGAGCACAGGTCTAACTCAGTATGGCATTCCTGTGTTTCTATGCCTGGAGACATGAGGGCTGGATTGGTCCCCCAGTTGTTTGTTATTCTTTTTTATGAAGTTATTCTGTGTTTATAAACACAAAAGCAGGAAAGAGTCTTTATAAAGACCCTCTCTTGCTTAAGAGACCTTGCTGCCTGTTGCTGTTTTGTTTCTGCTCTGTCATTCCACGGGTTTAGATGTTGTACGTTTAATTCGATGACATATTATAGGCGATGGATCCCATACTTCCTGACAACCTCTTATAACTTTATTCCAAAAACTTCCCAACTCCTTTATCAAACGCTTTCAATAATGCTCTTAGCAGCATAGGAGGCTGGTAACATTTAGGTCCCGATCCTGCAAAGACTTATGCATGCTCTTAATTTTATCCACCAAAGCCAACTGGACTCTCAGTGCATGTGGGTATTTGCAGGATCAGGGCCTTAAGGACACACCAGAATTGGAAAAGATACAGAGAGGGGGGAGGAAAAAAAAAGATTAGGGGTATGAAAGAACTTCCATATGAGGAGAGATTAAAACTGGGACTATTCATCTTAGAAAAGAGACAATGAAGGAGCATATGAGAGAGGTCTATAAAATCATGAGAAAAAAATTTCTTACCCATTCACATAACACCGGAACTAGGCGGTTACCCAATGAAATGTATAGGGATCAGGTGAAAAACAAAGATAAAGAAGTACTTCTTCACACAACGTACGGTCAACCTGTGGAACTTATTGCCAAGGGATGTTGCAAAGGCCAAAAGCAGAACCGGATTTGAAAAAGAATTAGGCTTTATCTAAACTAGTACTTTTGTCGGTAAAACTTTTGTCTGTCAGGGGTGTGAAAAAAGTACACCCCTGACAGACATAAATTTCCCCATCAAAAGTGCTGGTGTGCACAGCGCTATCATAGACTATCAGGGTTGGAGGGGACCTCAGGAGGTCATCTAGTTCAACCCACTGCTCAAAGCAGGACCAATCCCCAGCTAAATCATCCCAGCCAGGGCTTTGTCAAGCCTGACCTTAAAAACCTCAAAAGAAGGAGATTCCACCACCTCCTTAGGTAATGCATTCCAGTGCTTCACCACCCTCCTAGTGAAAAAGTTTTTCCTAATATCCAACCTCCCCCACTGCAACTTGAGACCATTACTCCTCGTTCTGTCATCTGCTACCATTGAGAACAGTCTAGAGCCATCCTCTTTGGAACCCCCTTTCAGGTAGTTGAAAGCAGCTATCAAATCCCCCCTCATTCTTTTCTTCCGCAGACTAAACAATCCCAGTTCCCTCAGCCTCTCCTCCTAAGTCATGTGTTCCAGTCCCCTAATCATTTTTGTTGCCCTCCGCTGGAAGCTTTCCAATTTTTCCACATCCTTCTTGTAGTGTGGGGCCCAAAACTGGACACAGTACTCCAGATGAGGCCTCACCAATGTCGAATAGAGGGGAACGATCACGTCCCTCGATCTGCTGGCAATATTGCTTCTACTTATTCAGCCCAAAATGCCATTAGCCTTCTTGGCAACAAGGGCCCACTGTTGACTTATATCCAGCTTCTTGTCCACTGTAACCCCCAGGTCCTTTTCTGCAGAACTGCTGCCTAGCCACTCGGTTCCTAGTCTGTAGCGGTGCATGGGATTCTTCCGTCCTAAGTGCAGGACTCTGCACTTGTCCTTGTTGAACCTCAGCAGATTTCTTTTGGCCCAATCCTCTAATTTGTCTAGGTCCCTCTGTATCCTACCCTCCAGCATATCTACCACTCCTCCCAGTTTTGTGTCAACGCAAGAAACACGCTCCTGCCAACATAGCTACTGCTGCTCATTGGGGGTGGTTTAATTATGCTGGCAGGAGACCTCTCTCCCACCGGCATAGAGCGGCTACACATGAGCCCTTACAGCGGCGCAGCTGCAGTGTTACAGCTGTGCCACTGTAAGGTCTGTAGTGTAGACATAAGGCTTAGATAAATTCATGGAGGATAAATCCATCAATGCTATTAGCCAAGGTGGTCTGGGTTGCAACCCCACGCTCTTGGCGTCTCTAAATCTTTGACTACCAGAAGCTGGGACTTGATGATGGGGATCAGATCACTTAATAAATGCCCTTTTCTACTCATTCCCTGTGAAGCCTCTGGCATCAGACACTCTCAGAAGACAGGATACTGGGCTATATGGACCATTGGTTTAACTCAATATGGCCATTCTTATGTTTATGCTCTTACAAGTAGGCTTGGACTGTATTATCCATTCCATGAAGGCTTCTCCTCCCCAAGGGTAACTATAGGCAAGAGACAGTGAAGTCCAATGTAGACATACTGCCACGAAGCTAGAGTACCATGGCCTACATCCAGTGCAAAGACAGTAAGCCTCCACACAGATCCATGGAGCCCTCCAAATTTGGGACAGGCCCTATGGCTTTTTCTACAGAGAGATCGGTAAGGGATGAATTCCTCCAGCGGGTGCTTGGAAGTTTACCCCCAAGATTTCACTACTAGGTGAACTTTTGATTAAAATACAAAATTAACCATGTTTTGTTCATGAGCAGCTGGTGCATCTCACAGCAGGAATAGCTGATGGTTAGAACGCATAACATTGTCTCAGGGTGACCAGTCCCTTTAAGGGGAGAAGAGGCCAGGCACTCCTGTCCTATAATTAATTAGTTACTACTTCCCAGCCTGAGAGGTAGAGCTAAGGGGGCCAGGTGATAGTTCAAGGATAACTGAGCCTTAAAAAAGGAGAGAGCGCTCAGGCAGGGGTTAGCAGCAGAGGCTGGGGGTAGGCTCTTGTGGGAGATACTGAGGTATGGCCTGCAAGAGGGTACTCCGGGGAATCAGCTTGGGGCCCAATGCCCTTTACTAGAGCAAGGAAGGTGACAAGGAACAGAGTGCACTAGGGAAACCAGCCTGGGGGCTGAATTCTCTAGCCCAGAGTCAGAGACTCTCAATAGATCCTAGAAAGGGGCTAAGAAGTGGG